CCGCCCACTACCCCCGCTCCCTAGCCACGTACTCTAGCCGCCAGACAGTGAGCAGCGCTACCCAGCGCGCGTGGCAAACTCCCAGCGAGCGGCGCCGCGAAATAGTGTTGGCAGAGATGATAGAGCAAAGCGCTGGAAGGCCCAAGCACGAAATATCACTAGCCGAACTGAGCCGAGTTTTTGTAACTGCCTTGATCTCGGCGAGGAGTGTGTTTGAGCGGTGTGTTGTTTTTTCAGTTTTGTTTTTTGCGTATTGGGGGTGGGTGGGGGGGAGCACTTGTGTCTCTCCTTCGGAGAACTAGGCTCAGGTAAGTGAAGTTTGTTCTAGAAGTCTATAATTTTTTAATGAGCTGTATGTGGAAGGTGATACTTCATGGTGGTATTGGAAGGCGAGAACTATGTCGGATTTGTGACATTCATAGTTCCACACTGGATGTCCACGCGTTCTGGCCGGATGCCAAAAAACTGAAATTTTCCGCCTATTTTTGAAATGCTCACTTTTCAGCTGGTAGAAATTGTGGATTCGGTGCCTGCAGTTGGTGTCCCGTTTGCAGCAGCTCTCTGGATGGATGCTGTCCAGTGCATTGATGGATAGGATATTCGATGTGGCGCAACACTGCTCGTCACTGCTTCTCACATTCAGGTCTCCTTTTTATTAATTTATTCCTGGAACGCGGGCTGTAACGACAAGCTATCTGCTTGTTGCTTGGATGGCGGGGAGGATGTTCGGTGGCGAAATCACTTGTCCACCTGCGAGCGCGAGTTCGTTGCTTCGTCTGTTCCATTGGCTTCCGGGATTTTTTTTTTCCTTTTCATCTTCCTTCTCTTACTTTCTTCACTGTACTGCATTTTAGCTCCTCGGCATTCCTGGAACCAGTAGTTTTGCATGGTACTAATGAAGTTCTTCACTTCCCAGCTAAGTTTTGCTTTGTCTTAACATTTTTGTCCTGGCTGAATTTTACGTCGCAAACCGTATTCTATGTCCTTCGTAGCCGTATTTCTTGCCACGGACTCAGACGAGCACTGCTTATAGAGGGTGAAGAAGGAAGCAGAAGAAGTTAAGTAGGGCGTGGATCCTGAATTAGTTTACGTGAATTTCTAGTTTGTTGACTACGGAGCTCTAGGGATTGTTTTTCTTTTATTTTTCTTTTTTTTTGACAATTTCTTCGTAATCTTGGGGGGGGGGGGGGGGGGGAAATGATCTAGGAATAAGCGGTTGTTCGTGCGAAAGGTATCGTGGACCTTCAGTAGCATGTTGTTTATAAGTCGTTGTAGCAGGACGTAGCACGTTGTCAGCGATAAGCACCGGCTGGCACGATTTGCTCTGTCTTGTACGAGCTGCTTATTAGCGAGCTTATAATAGTTCCCAATTTTGCCAGTACTTTTACAGCGAAAATGAGTTAATGCACCATAAAGGGATTCATGATTGTTCTAGTGGCGCAGTTAGACTGTCGGTGTCGCTCGCTATATGCCGTCACAATAAGAGGGGGCCTCATTCATTGTAACTGATCACGAAATGAGGGCAAAACGATGGGAGGAGTGTTTTGGAATGAAATGATTTTGTTGAGAGGTCTCTCAGTTCACAGACTGATTCCTCCATAAGCAATTCATCCTGGAGACAGCAAGATACGATTTTGTTGCATAATAATTGATTTTGTTGCATAATAATTGATTTCGTTGCATAATAATTGATTTCGTTGCATAATAATTGATTTCGTTGCATAGTAATTGATTTTGTTGCATAATAATTGATTTTGTTGCATAATAATTAAGATGCTTTGCCATAGCGTAAGAATAACACATATGTAGCAGTACAGTAATAATGAAAGAAATGAGCTGGAAAAATTATATTTGAAAATTTTGTAAACGGAAGATGGTACAGAAGACAACAAAATTTTTTCAACAAAGGGGGTTTTTTTTAAATTTTTAGTCGAAATTTCAGAGAGTGTTGAAACTGTGCTCGAATTGGTTGCTACAGAGAATAGTGCTGAATGTGGGCATCAGTCTGAGTGCAGCCAATTGCCTTCTGAAATCGGTACTGTTTTTCTTTTTTTTTTTTGTAACACCCGAAAATGATGTCGCAGTGTAATGGTGGCCTGGTGCACGCATCTTCTTTTGCATGAAGCATTTGTAGTTCGGAACTTTAGGCAGAAAAAGCTGTGATCTGTAGCAGAAGAGTTATTTGAGTTAGCATTATCGAGACAGTGCCGATTGAGGGCGACTGATAGCGTTGCTTGTACTCCTTCTGCGAGCTGAGTAGCGCGAACGACCGATGTCAGCCACATTTCCGGCATCGCATAAAAAAATCATTTTCCACGCTCCTGCCCATTTCCAGTTTTTTGTCTGTGGTTTCCATCGCTATGCACGTCATTTCTTAGAAATGAGTTAAATTAGCTGCTTTTTTCTACCACACTGGTGAAACGCAACATCTATCAGATATCAGCAGACGAGCGGCGCGCCTTACTAAACAGATCTTTTTTTTATGCGTTTTTTGCATTTATACAATGCAGAAAACGCATACTGACGAGAGGTTGTCTGTGTGTATCTGTATGTGCGCCTCTACCGATTTTTCATCTCAAGATCTATAAAAGCTACAGGGCTGAAACTTTGGGAACTTAATCTGCATGCATGTACGGGCCACAGTCCCCAAAGTGGGCGCTCTTACCCGCGTGGTAGCCACGTACAGGCCTGTCAAAGTTTTTGGTGGGGAAGCAACTAACTCGGGAACCAAAAAAAACTAGAAAGCTGAAATTTTAAGGGGATGTTCTTTTGCCCAGGTATTAATGAGCTGAAACCTATCCCCGAGTTATGCGTGGTTCCTACATACGGTCCCGTGAAAGTTTTTTCCGGGTAAGTTGCTGACTCGGGAACCTGAGGAATTAGATGAATGAAATTTTAAAGGGATGTTCTCCGTCTGTGTGGGTATTAATGAGCTCAAACCCAGCCCGCGGGTTTGCATGGTTCCCACGTACGGGCCCACAAAGTTTTTTTCGGGTAAGTTACTAACTCGAGAACCAGGAAAGCTAGAAAGCTGAAATTTTAAAGCGATGCTTCCTGACAGTTCTGTTATCCAGTCTCAGTTCTTTTAGCCAGAAGCATCTGCCGGATAAAACGGTGCCGTTAGCGACAAAAATCCGTGGGGAACTATGCGAAAAACGCATTTTCGCGCCGGCACTCGGTGCGCTGGCCATTTTTTTGTTTTATGTTGCGACTATATTTTGCATGGTACTTACCTTACATTACATGTGCTGACCTCGAATGTAGATATCTGCAATTGGTTTCCCTCACAAAAAATTGAGTCCACTTGTATTCGCAAATTATTCTGAACTTTATCGGCAAAAACTTTTGTTCTTTGAGGGGTAACACTGCTTTTTTTCGTAAGTTTTTCACATAATGTGTAAGGCATATTGACTGTTTCTTGTCCCTCTCTCTGTTATTCCTATATCCTTCATTTTATTTGCAGTCTCTGCGCCTAAACAAGCTAGAAAGCTGAAATGCCGGGACTTAGTGCTTGACTGTGCGTTGGCTTAGAATTCCAGCATCAAATTTCGTGTTTTACTGAATGTCAAGCTGTGATCTTTGATCACCAGAAGCTAAATTTGCATATGTTCTTTGATTGAAGCACGTAAATTTGGTCTTCATGGAGAGAAGCTGTGGGGGAATCAGTCTTGGTGCGCGCCATACTTTTATCTGTCATTTTTTTCCTAATTTCTCGCCCTAATTCATTCTTCTAGCAATGAATTTCAGGCGCAAACAGTGCCCCGTGGTTGCAGAACATCTATCAGAAGTTTCTTGAGCATCTGAATATGCGCTCACTCGCTCTCTCACTTATGCTATCCTTATTTTTGTTGAATTTCGATGTTATCTGGTAAGTTTAATTCAGTTGCTGCGTTCTTCCTCTTTGCGAATCTCATTTCTACGGTAGAAAAATAACATACCCAGGCGTAGATGTGGTGGAGGAACGGGGTG